AGGTCCTTCCATAGGGAGTTCGATTGGTCGTCTTTCGTATTTTGATGTCAAACAAGTATTGCACTGATTAATGTAATTTGATATAATTTTTTTCATATTTGGAGTGAATGCTTTTTTCTTGAAATGGCTGTAAGTTTCATTGATACCATTATGCGTTTGGCTATGATAGAAAGACAATTGTTCTGTAAATGAGTCTTTTAGTATGTATATAGGCTTATAAGAAGCTTTAACAAATCTTATACCGCTGTTCGAAAAATACTGTTCTAAAAGTTCGTTAAGTTTAAATTCTAAAAGTTGATTTTCATACCAAATACCATAAGTATGATCGGGCTGAAGATATTCCTTCATAGATTTCAAAAGTTGCTGTGTTTCAGATCCACTTCGGACTGTTACCATTAAAGTTCCATTGCAAGACTTTGTTATTTTGTACTGATTTTTTAACTGAAAATGTATTCGATTTTTGAAAAAATAAAAATTCTTTTCTTGATACAATATATGATTGATAGGATTTTGTGCAGATGAATGTCGAGTAACATCAGATTGCTCAACAATTTGGAGTCGTTCATCTAGCGGCATTTCATCTAATAAATCAAATAAAGGTAAATTATCTTCATTCAAGATTTCATCAAGTTCTTGGGTTGTTAATTCTTCTACAGAATCTACTTGTGGTAAAATGGATAAAAGATCGTCATCCTCTAAAGCGTTAATTTCAATTCTACTAAGTGCATCGGCTACAACATGGTCTTTGCCTTTTTTATATTTAATTGAAAAATTATATTCTTCTAACTGAAGCTTCCATCTAATCAATCGCTGATTGGGCACTGATAAAAAACTCAACCAAACTAGGGGCTTGTGATCACATTCGATTAGAAAATTTTGACCAAATAAATAAGGACGGAATTTTTTACAAGAATCAACTATTGCCAATAGTTCTTTTTCAATAACGCTGTAATTGCGTTCAGCAGAATTTAATGTCCTAGAGTGGAAAGCAATAGGCTTATCATTTTGACTATGAACTCCTGATAGGGCTATATTGCTACAATCAGTTGTCAATGTAAATTTTTTGGAAAAATCACGATAAGCCAGAATAGGTGGGTTACAAAGAGCTTCTTTACCAAGTTTAAATGCATTGATATAATCTGGATTATTGATATTGATTTTTTCATCTTTACGTAAACATTTTGTGAATGGCTTAGTCAATTGTGCAAATCCTTTAATAAATTTACGATAATAGTTCATCAGGCCTAAAAATGACTGGATTTCTTTAATCGTAGTCGGGAGAGGATATTCTTGAATTACTTTGATTTTATCTGGGTTTGGAAGCATGCCTTGTGGCGTGATGACATGACTTAAGAATGGGACATCTTTTCTCAGGAACTCAGATTTGTCCAGTTGGATTTTTAAATTAAACTGATTCAGTTTTTGGAATATTTTTCGAAGATGCAAAATGTGTTCGTCTAGGGATTTCGAAAAAACAATGATATCATCCATATAGACAAAACAAAAAACGTTGATATATTCTAACAATACAGTATTCATCATACGTAGCATAGGTAGCAGGGGCATTTTTTAACCCAAATGGCATACGGACATACTCATTGTGCCAAATCAATAGTAGAAGAATACATGCTTTTGCCAAAATTTTCCAAAATTTCTTCAATTAGTGGGAGTGGAAATTTATCTTCAATTGTTATTTCATTCAGTTTACTGAAATCAATAACCATCCTATATTTTTTAACACCGGATGCATCCATTTTCTTAGGAACTATCCAGCAGGGTGACTGATAGGGTGAATTGCTTTGTCGAATGATTCCATCATTCAATAACTTGGAAACTTGATTTTGGATTTCCTTTTTGAGATGATAAGGATATCGATAATTTTTTACATAAATTGGGTCCTCATTTTTTAACCTAATTTTGTGTGCAGTGGCATTACAGGGAGTTAATGGTTCGTTAGGCTTGAAAAATACCTGTTTGAATTGCTTGCAGAGCTTAATAATCTTTTCTTTTTTTTCACTATTCATATGAGACGTACGAATTAAATTTTCAACACGTATATTGGATTTTTCAGTAGAAGATGGAGATTCTTTTTCAATTAGAAAATCATCAAGAGGTTCAGATAAAAATGGGTTGGAAATATCAAGAAGATTTATGTCAATTGGATATTGAATAGCATTATTTTCTACGTTACAGATACATTCAGGAAAATATTCGTCAGAATTTTTGAATTTCAAAGGTGGAATAACAACAGAACCATTATCCAAATTTCGGATAATTAATGATTTTTTCGGGTAACTATACTGAACTGGATTGTTTTCTCGAATTGGCTTAAAAGAAGTGTTATAAGTAATTTTACATTTATCAGTAATAATCTGATGTTTAGTCAAATCAATAGAGCAATTAAGCTTTTGTAAATCATAGAATCCTAATAAGCAGTCATAACGTGAATGCCAAGGAAGAATTAAAAATTTAATTTCAGTTTTATTCTTCCATTCAGCAAATATGGGAATTTTACAGGCATATTGACCTCTAAAATTGGACGTACATGAATTAATTTCAAAAGGATGACCATAAATACGATCTGGAAAATATTTAAAAGCAATTTCTGGATTGATCAGGGAGGATGATGCACCAGTATCGATTAAGATGATAAGATTAAACTGAGAACAAAAAATATACGGAAGATGAGTTTTTTGATAATTATTTATATCTAAGTCAAATTTTGAGACTGGCTCGTCGAAGGAAAATTTTCTTCGTCATTGTTTTCAAAATAAGATTCATCGGGGATATAGTCTGAATCGAAATCTTGGGTATATTCCTCAGATTCATATTGTGGCGTTCCTGCAAAAGTTTGTTCTTCCTCATTTTCAAGATGAGTAATTTCTTCGACATAATAATGGTTTGGTTTGGGACCTGCTTGAAAGGCATTAACTCTAGTGGGCATTTGTTGACGATATGGGTTTTGTTGGGGTTTCGGTGTGCATGCTGTAGATACAGACATAGGTATAGGATTACTTTTTTGTTGGCCTGGAATGGGTTTTTTGGAAAAAACATTCTGTGGTGGTCTGAAAGGTGTATTAACAAATTCTGCAATAAACTTTTCTGAATTATCCAAAAAATAAATTAGATCTCTGTGACCTCCATGATATTCTGGTACCATATATTTAGCTACATTGAATTTAATTTGTAGATCTTGAAGAGACATGGTTGACTGATTAAAATTAAGACGTGAGGGTGTCAAAATAACTTGTCTAACAGGTGTATTTACGACTACAGATTCAAATTCAGAATCGGACATTAAATATATGTAATTAAAGTCACTAAATAAGTTTACTTATAGATAGCTTTTACGAGTATATATAAATGTAAAGCAATAGAGGGCGAAAAAGTTTCGAGACATAAATGGAAAAATCACTGAGTACAGCAAAAATTGCAAATGTTGTTTCTTACGCTACACTGGGCACCAGCAGCTTCATTTGGAGAGATCTGAGATACCTCCTTGGGCCAATACAGCTCCTCCTGGTTGACAGCTTGCTTGCCGTGGATCCAGTACCTCGCTCCTGTCAGTTCCTGTCGTTTTCTCAAGTGTCGTTGCCTGCTCCCAAAATACTTAGCAAGTATTTCGGCCTGGTACTTCGATGGTGATTTGCCTGCTCGGTGTAGCCTTCGAGGTTCTTTGTGATCGACGTCAAAACGATTGAAATCGTACCCGAACACACCGGACGATTTTTTGCACTTTTTCGGTCTTGATTGAGCGATACTCTTGAATCAATACCGCCGATTATCGATTCGGTACGCCGATATCCTGTTCGCAGCGCCAATTAAGAATGTGTAAACAACGAACGACTTTTTTAAAAAGCGACTTTATTTAACAGAAGACGAATGAGTACTGGTCACCTTGGTTCACATGCATCTCTTACTTATAACCTACGCTAGAACAAAGGAATCGAAAAGTGCAAACCTAAGCAACTCTACATATTAGATCATCATCATAGCGGTGCCGTAATTTACGGGAGAAGAGTAGGGTGAAGTACTTGGGCGAATGACTTCATCGTCTAGAAGTTTAGTGACTTGTTTTTGAATTTCTTGTTTGAAGAAATAGGGATAACGAAAAGATTTAACGAAAATAGGATCATCATTAGATGTTCGAATAAAATGCTTAGTAGCTGTGCAGGGTTTTATTTTTTCGGTGGGCTTTAAGAAAGCTTGAGGGAAGTTTTTACAAAGATTTAAAATGTGAAGTCTTTCTTCAGAATTCATGTGTTCTGTACGAATAAGATCCATGTTCGGAGATTTGGGCAAGGGATTAGGATACGAAATTTCATAATCGGAAATTGATTCGAATTGAATGTTATGACTTTCAATTAATTTGAGATTTTCAGGAAATAGAATCTTTTTATCTATGACAGGGCAAATATAACTAGGAGTGTAATTTTCTGAATTCGAGTATTTGACAGGGGGGATAAATACAGAATCTTCATTTGTGTCTATAGGAATGGTGTCGAAAATCTGATTGGGAATTTTTATTGGTTCCTTATGAGTATGACATAGAATTTCAAAGTTTTCGATGGAAAGTCAATCATGGGAAGTGTGAATATTACTGTGGAATTTCTGTAGGTCATAGTAACCTAAAAGACAATCATATTTTTGATGCCATGGGAGTAATAAGAATTCAGTTCTATCAAAGATAGGGATCGTACAAGCGTGAGTACCAATTTTGGTTTCAATTGCTGTTTTGATAGAAAAACATTTTGGATAAATATAATCCGGAAATTTGTCGTAGGCAATTTGGGGATTCATAAGAGATGCAGAAGCACCTGTACCTATAAGAATAAGTAAATCCAAATCTTCATTGTAGAGATATCGGAGATGAATATTTTCATAAGAGTTTAAATCAATGTCTATTCTGGGGATTGTTGATGAGGAGTTGACTGAACATTTTCTTGAGAATAATTGTTTTCATAATATTTAAATTGATCTTCTACGGAATTTTCTGGACATTAAGCTTCAGAATAATAAGAATCGAAGGGGTTTGCTACCTTTTCTGTAGAGCTTTCATTAGTGGGTTCGGATTCGTTATTAGTAAGTTCTTGAACAGCCATGCTAGGGCGTTGACCATTATTCGAAAAGAAATTGGGTCTAACAGGTTTATTTGTCTGAGGCTTAGACTTAGTGATGAGAAACTCTTTATATTGTTTGGTTTGCAAAAGGTTGTCGTGTTCTTGGCACCGTCTCTTAGCTTCACCTGTATTTTTAGGGGGTGGCTGTAATGCAACGCAATGATATTTGGAATTGATTCCGCATAAAAAGGAGGTTAAAGCCATCTGTTCATATCTAGTAATCATTGGGCAACCTCAGGAGGATAATTTAATCGAGCAAATTCTCCTAATTCATGAAGTTTGTTACCAATTTCTGAATATAAAACGCTATAGTCTGGGGAATGAATATCAAAAAGTTGACGAGTCAAATTTTCTTCAGTTTGGTAATCTTTGAATCTAGTGGTTAAAATAGCAGAAAGATGTTCAATAGTAATAGCATTAGTTTGTTCTGTAAATTCGGCAGGTTCACCTTGTTATCTAGACTTAACAAATGTTAAAGCATGTCCTTTATGGGAAATAGGTAAAACGTTATAAAATTCTGTAGACTTTCTTAAAAATGTAGAAAGATTGTTTGAATAGCCATCAAATATGGGAATTGAATCTTTTAGCATGTTAAAAATTAATTGAGGATTGTCGTGCTGAACGACATTCTGTTGATTTGAGGTAGCCATTTTCAAAGGAGATCTTTCTCTTTCGATAGGTACAAAACGATTAACAAGAGGCATAAAATAAAATATATAAAAGGTGCAAGATGAAAATGAGTAAAAAATAGGTGAAAACAAAACTTAAAGCTATGCACAAAATTAGATTTCAATTGAAAAACGCAAACTTGGATTCTTCAGTAAAATCTTCTTTGTAGAAATGTGCTTTTTTGATAAATTCGTCTTATGGTTACGTATTAAATCTCCTTAGATGCAAACTCTTCTTAATAGTAGTTCTTAACTACTTACAAGGACAGTAACATCAATTGTTGCTTCATCCAGGGGCTGGTCATCTTGTCTTCGATTCCAAATCAATGGTTCTGGACAGTTTCTGGTAGAATTCCCAGTAAGAAAATAGAAATTCTTACTTGATATTGGCACTCGGAGAGTCCAAGTAGAACAGGAGGGCCTTCCCGACGTCTGATACTAACTCTTGGGTTTCGCTGGTACTAACTTCAGTTTTCTCAAGAACTCACTCTTTGGCTTTCTCGGAGACACCGCTGGGCAGCTCGTCTATTAGATATTTCTCACAATGGTGACAGAAACCAAGCCTGGGATCCTGTTCGCAGCGCCAGAAATGAAACTCAGTGTGGTTTCGGTTCGAAACTATTGCAGGAACTTTATTGGTTGAAAACAGGATGACAACAACGCTAATTACATTTCATATTCAGTTTATAAGAAATAAAACATAGCAAAATGCAAAGTCGGTAATGTTCTCATGAAGATAACACCTAAAGCTGTAACTAGAAACCGGATGGACGACGTTAATCAAAAGGGCATCGGGACGGTGTTAGCCGTACCGTTGAAATGGTAATCATCAGGATTCCATAACTTATACATAACATGTAGACACCATCGATTTCATCGCTGTGCATTTCATCATGCAAACTTGACTCATTCGAAAACTAAGTAGTTGGAGACATTTATGCAGGAAGTAACATTCAGGCATAATACCGTAAAATGGGTGCTCTTGTCGCTGGACATCAATAAAGCTTCTGGTCCGAACTTGATTCCTACCATTGTATTCAAGAGGTATACAGCGGAACTCGCTTCAGTTCTTGCGCGGCTCTTTCAGATATCTTGCGTATCCAGCACCTTCCTAGAAAACTGGAAATTTGCACATGTCCAAGAGAAAGAGATCTTATGCCGACCTTTACAACTACACGCATATAGCTCTGCTTTCTGTTATTAACGTGATGGAGAGGCCCATAAATAGCGAGCTGGACTACCTTGAACGTCACGGCTTGATTAGCGACAGGCAGTATGGTTTCCCGCACCAGCGATCCACAGGGGACCTCCTAGCCTATGTCTCGCAATTGTGGAGTAAATTCATCCAGTCCTATGGTGAGACTCACCGTTGCTCTTGATGTCACATCACCAAAGCGTTCGATCAGCTGTGGCACGCTGCCCTCTTCCACCCTATGGCTTCCCAGAGAAGAGCCTGACTTCCTCTGGCCGCAAGATATCCGTTGTAATTGACGGGTTCTCCTCTCCGTCCCACGCCAACGTGGGTTTCCTCAGGGATCGGTCTGGGCTCCGACACTGTTCCTCTTACATATCAACGAGCTCCTTTCTACGGCTTTGCCTATAACAGCACTCTCCATGCAGGAATTCAGAGCGACACGCCGATCCCTACCGGTGAGCTGGAAAAAAGAAGAGTAGCAGCGACTTTCTCCCTGACGAGATTCCTGGAGGTTATCACTGCCTGGAGACGTAATAATCTTGTACAGTTTAATGCTTCCAGAACAAAGTATTGTACCTTGACGAACAAAAGGTGTCCTAGCACTCATCCAGTTTCGATGGATCGAAGTTCTGCCAGGGTCGTTCGTTTCGGCTGGACAGAGTCCGGATCACCGAGGACTTGATCTGGCTCGAATACATCTTGTCAATAGGAAAAACCTAGGCTGTTTGTTTAGGGCTCAAGAGTATGAACTCCTCATCCTATGCAAGGCCCAGCTTAGACATAGCCCCGAGTATTGCTCACACGTTTAGGGTGCTGCTGCCCCGACTACATTATTTATGCTCGATGGTGTCCAGAGGAAGGCTGACGAACTGATCGATAACTCTGCTCTAATAGACAGCGACTGCCTACCTACCCTATTGCACCGGCGAGCCGTCGGCGGTCTAGTTCCCTTCTACCGCTACACTAACTGGCTTTACCACTCAGAGCTCTCCTCCATGATGCCGTCAATTGATGTGCCTGCCAGACAGACCCGCTTGACTTAGGCTTCCCATCGTAATCGTGTCGTAAACTTGGTGCAGCGAGAACTGGCCGATACGATCGTTTCTTTGTCTCGAGGGTGTCGAGATTGTGGAGTATTTTCCCAGTATTACTAAGCTTAGGCAGTTCAAATATCGGATGGCCAAAATTTGTTTGGAATCCTCAGCAGCCGCGGTGTCCTGGCATTTAGGCTTCTGCCTGCTCAGCTGCTTCGGCGTAAAAAAGCACTATATGTCGGCTTAGAAGCTGTTATGAGAGCTACCATGGCCTCTATGGCCTTCATATTGAGTCTAAGTACACACAAAGAAGAGTGGTCTCGGTACAAGAGCAGGAGTTTCTATGAAATTATGCCATTGATTGAAGATCACAGATACTTGAACTTACCTAATTTCATTGTTTCAGATACATATAGCTCTTACAATTAAAAAAGTCCTAGAAACATATCAAAGTCACAATCCTCAACTAAAGATAGTTACTCTTGAATCCAGGGCACTCTTTTTTGTGTGCAGTTGGACTGTCAGTCCTTTGATAGAATCATAATCAAGGTCAGGAATATACAAGTTTATACAGGTGTAGACTGTACGTATCATTACAAACAAATATTGAAATTTAAAATAGTTTTTTTAAGAAAATCATTCACATATTATATCGAATTTTTCATAAATGAGCCTTTAATCAGATTTTTAAAACTTTCGTAGGGAAGAGCTCTTATCGCTGGTGGTAAGCTGTTACAAAATTTTACACACCAATAACTTGGGCCATCTTAACATCTTCCCAGCCTAAGATGCCCGGGATTGAGCATGTCCTTATTCCTGATATCATACGGATGAATTTGCTGATGTGCTTCAAACTCTGACAGATTGAATTTATATATGCAAGGAAATATTAAGACCCACCAGCTCTTGAAATTTTCCCTGAAGTAATCTCTGTAACCAATGCCAGAAATTACTCGAATGGCTTTTCTCTGGAGTCCAAACAGACGGCTTGTGTCTACATACCAACACAGCATAAATCAGGTGAGAATGGAGTACCTCAAAATAAGCTGCCCTCAGTGCACCTTTCAAAATACATTTTTTCAAATTCCGTTACAAAACAATTTGCACTTGAATTTTACGCAGATTTTAAACCAGCGTCACCGTGTACTCCAAAGACTTGATCGTACTGACATTTTTGGATGGGTCAATATGTCTGGTTGCAAAAGTCATTTCCACTGTTTTCTCTTTATGCATCAACAGCGTTGGTGAACCACTCCTCAGCCGTACGTATCTCACCCGTATATTTCTGTGGGATTTCTCAAAAGTATCTGCAGTAGAAGAAACGGTATACGAGGGTTGTTTCAAAAATAAGGTTCCCAACGCTGTAGATCTGGCAACACCGTCGTGTTTTTCGGCTCCTCCACCATCGATCCCAATAAAACGCGCCTACTGGCGACGCTCAGTACCGGCCTGACAACCAATGGAGTCCTTCACCGCCAGGTGGGAATTCGTGCGGTCATCCGATTTTTGCAAGCAAAAACGTTACCACCCATAGAAAATTATCCCCGGGAAATACGTGCGGTCATCCGATTTTTGCAAGCAAAAACGTTACCACCCATAGAAAATTATCCCCGGTTGAGTGAAGTATATGGGAAACGTGTATGAGCAATCAACAAGTCCTCAAATGGTGAAGAGAGTTTAACGGCCGTATGGACATCCACGATGGACAACGAAGCGGGAGGCCGTCGACCTCCTAGGAAATTGTGGCGAAGGTTGAGCAAATCTTACTCGAAGATCGGCAAGTCACGATCCGGGAACAGGCGATTGAAATTCCAGCGGCTTCTGAAAAAGCTGGGACGGCCAATCCAAAATCATCGTAGTGGCAAACCCTCCAAAGAGCAAGACTGCACCACGGCAATGCGCATCCTCATGTCTCACAACAAACGAAGGACTGAATCGAGCGATTTGGCTGGGAAGCCATTGCCCATCCCCCGACGACCTCCCGCTCCGTTCTTCATCGTGGATGTCCATGCGGCCGTCAAATACATTTCTTCATCATTTGAGGACATGTTGAATGATTATACACGTTTCCCATATACTTCACTGAATGACTTTCTATGGGTGGTAACGTTATTGCGTGCAAAAATAGGATGACCGCAGGAATTTCTCACCTGACGGTGACTGATGAAGGGCTCCATTGCGCATGGCAGGCCGGTACTGATCGTCGTCAATAGGCGCTTCTTGCTGGGATTGGTGGTGGAGAAGCCGACAGATTTCGCCTAGCATCACGCGCGGCAAAGATACAGCGTTGGGAACGATATTTTTCAG